ATTTTAGTCACAACTCTTTAGTGGAAACTGCTTTCATTAAGTGAATTTTTAGCCTTTCAACTTCTACACCAATATCTGAACTGACAGAAATATCGTACACGATCTTCAAAAGTGACACAACTCTAAATTTGACATTTTTGAAATCAAGCAGTAAAAACGTACACACAGTTTTTATTTACCTTTCAGCAAAATCTTGAGTAAATTTTTTTTTTATAATTTGTTGAAAAAACTTAAGGTAATGTCTCCCTTACCCTGATGATTAGCATGTGCTACGAAATAATTTTTCGCATTTCCTGACGAACGTCTAATTTGGGTCGAGTACATAAGCAGCATAATATGTACACTTTTAGTTATGGCTTCACCCACATCTACCTATGATACACACAAACATACATACACAACAATCAGGTATGTACCTAAACAACTCCAACCTCTAGTCACTAGTGCTAAAACTACAAAATCCACTCCCATACATTCGCAAAATCGTAATCGAACCAAATGCAAATTAGTTTCTCTTCCGGGAATGGCCACAAGCTGCTGGCCACAATGCGGTCTCCAGTCGATTAACCGACCATCATTGTACTTTAAGCTTTTTAGCAAACAGATTACATGAGGAACAAAAAATGCAAGGGTACTAAGGTGAAATGAGCTAAAGTAGTAAAATAAAAAATTTCTTTCTTTCATTAAATCAGGTCCACCAAATATGCCTATATGTGACCTGGTCTACGGAAAGGGGGCTTAGGTGTCAAAAAATCAATTTTCACTTTTTGGTTGATTCGGATGGAAGATGAGATGCTTTTTCACGTGGTGAAAAGCAGAAAATCCTAACTTGCTTACAAGTGTACTAAAAATGTAGAGAAAGAAGAGTAAAAATACGACAAAATATAATTTATTGGTAATGAACAAAATACATTGAATTATAAGCTATAAAGACATGATTATACACTAGAAAAACGTATTATGGGCCAAAAATAATAATGCTAAGTAGTTTATGTATTTTTCACTGAACTCCTCATCAACACTCATGTTTCATTTCATGCGAAATGCGAAGACGATAATCAACAGAAACAGTAAACGTCACTTCTTCAGTGTTACTTTTTTAAATGTTCCACACTAGCAACTTACACGATGAACTATAATAATATTCCGACCAACAACAACACTTACTGGACCAACAACAACACTTACTGGACGTCCGGCGCGGAGAACAATTAACGAGATAATGAGAAACTGACGAAACGAGTTGCTTACTTTTAACAGCTTTTTCACAGAAAACTAGTTTTCGCACGTAAGCTCCCTTTTCGTAGACCAGGTCACATATTTAAATTTTTTAAATTCGAGTGCTAACATACAGTGGCGAACAAAAGTATTGGCACAGTGAATTTTTCGCAATATATGCATAGGTTTTTATTCTAATTTATTTTTGATAATTTTTTTTTTATAAAAATATAGTTCATTCTACACCAAAAAACGTAAAAGTAAAATCTCTTTGTGCAAAATTCAGGAAAATTTAATAAACTTGCATACTAATTTGCATTTTTGATTTCAGTTTTTTAGAAAGAATAGCGATTTTTTTTAGTGGAAGGTTTTGCTCATTTTCTCCATACAAAAAATATTTGTCGAACATACTTTGTGTGGAAGAACCTGCGTGAAAAAATTGCCTAAAATCAACGCGATTTTCAAGCAACTTCAAACTTGCACTTTGTCATACTAAAATTTAATAGGCTATAAAACTGCATACTAAAAAATTTTCTAGAAAATCTGAATACAAAGTTGCAAATTATTATGCAAATTTATTGAAATTTGCGGAGTTTTCCACAAAGTTTAGAGATTTTATTTGTGTACCTTTTGGTGTATTTAGAATGAACTATATTTTTATAACAAATTATCGAAAATAAATTAGAATAAAAATCTTTACATATATTGCGAAAAATTCACAGTGCCAATTTGTTCGTCACTGTATGTATACAGAAAAAAATTGTAAATCACATTTTCTACTGCTTCGTCTTTAAAAGAAAGAATTGTAGCTAAACCATTTAATATTTGTTCGCCATTTTTTCTTCGTAATTATGATTTATTTATTCTTAAGAAGGAGCGTTCACTGGAAGCAAGTGTCACATGAAGTTGCGCCTATGTGCACGAATCGGGCTAGGAATATTGTTGGACTATGCTCCGTATGTACATTGACTAAAAATACCTGTAAAGGTGTTTTTACACGATATGTATTTGCATGTGGCAAATATGTACATCTTGAAAACAGCGGTGGTAAAATTTTTTTAAAACTTGGAGAAGGGACCATTTTGTATGGTAGTAAAACTCCAATAGGATTTCTATCTATCACATCATTATACATATACTGGGCACTGTGGAACTTGGTGACTCACTCTAAAATTAGACGCAGCAAGGTCCTCAGCGTCGGAGCGCCTTAATTGTTAATAGGTAAATTAGTTGTATCAGTAACACCGCGTTCACGTTGAAACTCTAAATGATATTGAAAATGCAAAATGTTGAAAGGAGCAATTGGAGTCCAATTATATTTACCCTTTCGAAAGCTTTGGTGTAGTATATACAGGGTGTCCAAGAAAACCCCTGCCAAACTCAAGGAGAAGATACGTGCGGGGGTGATCTCCTTGAAAAAAAAAATTTCTGGTAAAAGTGTCACCGTTTTTTTAATTACAAAAATGTGGCCTTTTCATGAAGTTTCTTTAACTGCATGTATAAACAAAGTTATATGTACTTAGTAAACTTTTTCTGTAAAATACTTCCAAAATACAAAATGCTCCTGGCTTATTTTATACTAAAAACACATTTACCTGAAAATGGATTTCTTATCAAGGAGCTCCCCCCACCATCTGCCTTCCCCTCAAGTTTGGAAGTGTACTTCTTTGACATCCCAAAACCCCTACCTGAGTTCGCCCCTGTATGTGCATATCGTCGTTTAAAGTACAAAACCGCGTATGTAATTATTTTCTAGAGAGTAAAAACACTCACATTTCGAATGGTTCTCTTTTTTTACAAAGCAATCGCATTTCGGGTCAGTATATTTCAGGACGAATGGATAAGGATTGAGCGATGAGCTTGTGTGAGCAAATCCAATTTTTGGTAGCAAATGTCAGTTACTCTGTTTTGCACAGTGACGATACGCGCTTTTGTAGCTTAAACGACAATATGAATGGCCACATGCGTAGCACGGATGTGCATAGCAGCTGTTATTAGCCCAAGGTCGCATGGCTGCTGCTGCATTGCGCTGTTGGTGCGGCAACGAAAAGACCGCATTATGTCTCAGTCCTGTAGCAAAACTCAATATACATAGCACCAGCTATTCCATTTAAACGAATGAGCGAGCAAACGAGAGCCGTGATTATGCACTCAGATACTTCCGTCAACAACACTGCCCGAATGTAAATGTGCGTTGCAAGGAGAACGAACGCAAATTACAATTGCACAATTACTATACTACATACATACATAGTACACCTGCGAGTGAACGCATTAACATTTACATACATACATACATACATATGCTTACTAGTTAGGAATTACATCTGGGCAATAAAGAAAAAAAATATTCATCATAAAACGGTTACACGCCCCCACCCGCAAGTACTTTTTGCGAAATACATGCATATATTTGCGAACGCCAAAGCGCACCGTCACCAAAGGCCACAAAGCGTCAACATCAGTTAGCAACGTTTCTCTGTATGCGTGAAAACTTGAATGCAAGCATTGTGCATCCTTGAGTAGTCGAATATATGCGGTGCACTGCTGGTAAAAGTAGGTTACCAAGCAACGCAAAATTCAGCACAGAATTTCGCCACGCTTGACACATGTGATGAAGATGTTGACGACAATGTCTCTGTTGCTATAACCGCAGCCGGTGTGCCGAAAGAGTTTTAATTTTACTACAGAGAAATCATTTTGACACACAAATTTGCGCGATTCCTTTATTTAGCTACTTGCCACTATCGGTATGTGCTCAAAGTAAACAAAAGTCACGTGCCGAGTGTGTAGGCTGCAAAAGCAAGAGTAACCTTGTGCGCATGTGCGGATAAGTGGGTGGGAGATTAGATAGTGGTGAGCGGGTAGGTAAACCTGAAAAAGAGCGAAATAAGAGAGTAAGCAATTCAGTCGGGTGTATTAATTTCGCTTCGTGTAATTAAGTTTTAAAATAGCTCGAAATCTACTTTGATTCGGATGAAATTAATAAATCTATACATGCGTAAGTATGTAACTATTCAAACACTTTAAAAAGCATGAAATACCCTCATTCAGATGGTTAAAGCATAAACAGAATTAACTGCAGTTGATCTGGATTAAGTCCGAGTTAATCCGGATCAACGCTGCCGCCTGCTAAAGCTTTTACCTCAACTAGTTATACAGCCGTAAGCGACCAGCCAACATTAAGTTGAACACGTCCGATGAAGAATAAAAACAAAAAAAAGTTATCCCTTTTTGCCTCTATCCTACGCGCCATCTTTTGCAGTACCTTAACGATGTGAAACAACGCAATTTCATAGAACTGGCCACGTTTCCGAACGAGAGGCACACAGTAAACAAACCGAAACACAAACAAAAAGGGAAACATTTAAGAAAAGCAGAATTTCGCTCGCCGCAACATTCCGGAAACCATTCATATTTGTATGGTATGTTTGTATGGTATGTACTTTGTCAACTCTGAAATAAAATTAGATCAGGAAAACAAACATAGAAATGACAAAAGCAGTAGCAGTGGTAAGTAAAATTAGGTTTGAGATTTTATACTCGCTTACATATGGCTAAATTGGACGTGACTAGCGCTTAATTGGGAGCAGTGAAGAAGCATTTTCACTGTGACAACAAATTAGAAAGAATTTTTGGGCAAAACGAAAAGCTCGACAGTGTTGGTCTCTGGCTGAACTCTTTCCTATCCAATTGTGAAGATCTAATGCAAGTAGTTTCACTCGAGAAAAAATAACAATTTTTAAAGAAATTAAATAATTAAAATTTAATGTATTGAATATTCAAGATTAAAGTGATTCTTGTTGACCGCATCCAGGTCAAACATTAATAAACTCATACAAAACTTGGTTAATAAAGCCTGAAAAGCTGTAAACTAAAGAACATACAACTAGAGGTAAATGTTAAAAATAGAATGCATTTGTAAACGATTTAATGTTCCATATTCTTACGATGCGCCATTTGCAGCTCAAATCTACGATTTGAACGTACGCCGCGTATAAGTTGCCCGNTGCATGGTATGTACTTTGTCAACTCTGAAATAAAATTAGATCAGGAAAACAAACATAGAAATGACAAAAACAGTAGCAGTGGTAAGTAAAATTAGGTTCGAGATTTTATACTCGCTTACATATGGCTAAATTGGACGTGACTAGCGCTTAATTGGGAGCAGTGAAGAAGCATTTTCACTGTGACAACAAATTAGAAAGAATTTTTGGGCAAAACGAAAAGCTCGACAGTGTTGGTCTCTGGCTGAACTCTTTCCTATCCAATTGTGAAGATCTAATGCAAGTAGTTTCACTCGAGAAAAAATAACAATTTTTAAAGAAATTAAATAATTAAAATTTAATGTATTGAATATTCAAGATTAAAGTAATTCTTGTTGACCGCATCCAGGTCAAACATTAATAAACTCATACAAAACTTGGTTAATAAAGCCTGAAAAGCTGTAAACTAAAGAACATACAACTAGAGGTAAATGTTAAAAATAGAATGCATTTGTAAACGATTTAATGTTCCATATTCTTACGATGCGCCATTTGCAGCTCAAATCTACGATTTGAACGTACGCCGCGTATAAGTTGCCCGTAGTTCTTTTCCGCCGTACCCGGCGTAGTACGCGCATTCGCTCCACGGGCCTTGAACATATCCATGTGACGTTGGCGCCGTTTAGCTATTTTTTCATCAATCGACATGGCTGCTGGTGGTGCGCTTGTGGCCTTGGTATGGGTTTTCGCAACTGATGCAGTTGCGACATCCAACTTTGTATAGTTAAAATGTGATTCTAGTGCCGTAGATAGATTGAAAGCTGGCTTGGGTGCTTGACGTGTTTGTGTCGGTTTGAACGCGTTCTTTGCCGGCGTCAATTGCTTATTTTTGCTGCTGGCTTTGGTGGTTGTATGTGGCTTAATTATACCTAACCGTGGATCTGGTAAATTTACTTGACGATTTTCTTTTTGGACCGTTTGCATACCTAGCATCGGCTTGCAAACACCAACACGTGGAATAGGAAGTTTTGAATCATTCAAATCTTTGCGTGTTGTCTCAACTGCCTTATACAGCGATGTATTACTTGTTTGGGTAAATGTTGAGTTGGACGAATCCGGTAAGTCAATTCGCTTTACAGCTTTGGGTTTTTCTGCTACGGCGGATGGAGTACCAACGCCATGTTGAGTTTTTGCCTCCTTTTGTGCAGAAGCTAAGGAAATAAGCTAATGAGTGTGGTTTATTTTTCAAATGACAATTAACTTACCAGTGCGTTGTTTAGTAGCAGAGTTGATGAGTATTTTAGCTCGCTCTGCCTTGCGATTTACATGATCCACAAGATTTTCCATCTTCTCAAAATGTTTTTGATGTATTGCTGCAAAGTTTGGCAACTTTGTACGGGGTGCCTTGGCTTTCTGTGGTGTCATGTGTACTTTGCTTGGTGTTTGGCCTGTTTAAAATAGTATAAGTTAAAATCTAATGTACTGTTACTCGCAAAAATGATTGTACGGTTTTCATTTTGTTAATATTTGCAATGTTTTACATACTAAACATTTGTTGTTAATTTTGTACTAAAATAAGCCATATTTTATATTTTATCAAACCCAGTTTAAGTCCAAGAATGAAACAGTATACGAAAATTAAGAAAAATATGCAGTTTCACCAAAATTGCAAACTTTTCAATAGGAATTTCTAAAAAAAAAAATCAAGTATGCAACACATTTTTTCCATATAAAGTGTTTTCGAGATTTTTTCATACATCCAAAGTTTCAGGAAAATTGCAACTTTTTAAGAGAATTTCTAAAAAAAAATTCAAGAATGAAGTTTTATAGCCAATTGAATTTTAGTATAATAATGTGCTTAATTCAAATGACTAAAATTTCGCTTTGATTTTTGACAATTTTTTTCCATGTAAAGCATGCAAAGTTTCAGCAAAATTGCAAACTTTTTAAAAGAATTTCCAAAAAAAAAGGAATGCATTTTTATAGCCCATTAAATTTTAGTTTAGCAATATGCTAATTTCAAATGTCTAAAACTTCGCTTTGATTTTTGAGCAGGGCCGCAAAGAATCATTACTTTTTAAATTTTGACCAAAAAAAAATCAACCAAATATCATCAATAATGATTATCTTATGATTTTTATTTTTTTCGCTCAAAGATAATAATTATTATTGTTTTTTATCTTTACACTTACGAATAATGAACATTCAAAAAACTGAAAAATTCTACAAGCTTAATTTCCGATGTATCCTTTTCAAAGGTAGCAACATTTTACTAAAAGCAATGTCACAAATATTTCACGTCAAAATTTCAGTTGGTTGCGTATGTATGGCTTTTTAATTTTTATAATTATAATTTTTAAATGGAAAAATAAAACCCAATAATAATTGTCTATGAGCGAAAAAATTAAAATAAAAAAATACTTATTTGTGATCGGAAAAATAACAATAAAATAAGAATTATTTCCTTTGTTCGAAAATATAAAACTGAATAATAATCATTTTTAAGCGAATCAAATAAATGTAGTTAAATAATGATTAAGTGATAAATTAAATTATTTTACTCATTAATTACCGCCCTTTTTTTTAATCATATAATAATAATAATCATTTTTAATTTTGTGAGTAACAGTATATTATCAAAAAACTCACTTTTAGGTTTTGATTTATTTATCAAAGCCTCATCAAAGGACATAGACCGTTTGCGACGCTGAGTTACAACTGCAATGATAAATAAGTATGAAAAACGTAACTTGGAATGCCCATTTAACCAATAAACTGCTTACATGACGTTACGTTGCCACCCGTTTTTGCGCCGTAATTTTTCTTCACACTTTGCACAATGCGTGTGTCCAAGTCTTCCAATATAGTCGTTTGATTAGCAGGACTATAAAATGTAACATTTTTGCGCCTATTTTCTGCTTCAGTATTACCAATGCACACGGACAAAGAACGTTTTCGAATGCTACGCAATACAATTTCTTTAGGCTCCATTTTAGAAACTTCTATTGTTATTGAGTGTGCACCCTCTTCACAATCTTCTTCTTCTTCGTTATTTGGAACAGTAGCCTTAGGTCTAAAAGGAGTTGGCTTACGTTCCACGGTCTTCGAATATCTCTTCGGTGTTACACCCGCATTAAACAGAGTGGAAGAATTTAAAATTTGCTCTTTCCCCTCCTCATTAGTCAGAATTACACGTGGTGCTTTTCGGGGTGGGGATGTGGAACTTTCTTCATCGGAAAGTCGTAATGGCTGCATGTCGTCATCTACGTGTTCCGATAAATCCTTATTTACCAACACGCAATCGCTGTTATTCAATGTGTCATCTTTAATTATAACCAGTGGGATTTCTGAATCATCTACCTCCACATCCCCAGATGCTTTGTTATAAGAATCCTCACTTTTTTGTTGGTCCTCCAATTTATAGCCAGAATCTTCATTATTTATTACAACTGGGACTTCTACATTATTTACTTCTAAGGCGTCTGGAGTTATGGTGAATGATTCATTCATAGCATTGAATATTTTTTGCTCTGAATTGGTTTGCTGTCCCTCATTTTCTTCGATTTCTTCAGGCAATGGATTAATCCCTAAATCAGATGTGTTGAAAGTATCATTTTTTAAATAAGTTCCAACGCCATCGCCTTGCTTTGCTTCAATTTCTTTAAAATTGATACAATCTTCTTGTTGCTCTTTCCTTAATTCACTCCCAATATTTTCGTTGGTGTATTTGGCCTTATTTTCAGTAATTTTATTGATAAGTATGTCCATATTTTTCTCAGCCACAGCTTCGGATTCTACCGTATCAACCGAATCCTGAATTTGTAGACTTTCTTCAGAAGTGTTAGTTTTTAGACTGTCCTTTTCATATTCATTATCTTCAGCTTCACTTGAACTAATTATTTTTGACTTATTTTGATTTTTCGTCGATTTGCGGCTTTTACGGCTCCGTTTTTGTGAAACACGACCCACTTTAGCTGGCGTCCATTTGGCTTGTGGCTCTTCATCAGCATCTTGTATGTTTTCCGCTTCGATCTTAGAGGCAGATCTCAACTGACGTTTGCGGCTTACAATATCTTCATATTCTTGAACCGGTTTAATGCTCTTGCGAGTGCTCCGCCTAGGCGTTTGTGCCAGTGTATCGTTCGTACCTACGCTAGGAGATCGATGCTGATAATCAATCTGCTTGTGTGATTTGGGTGTAGTCGGTAAATCATTTTCTTTCGACTTTTCCATTTCCATATCACTATCATCCTCTTGTGACATAATTAACTCCACCTCCTGTTCCAAATCTTTAGTACGATGCCGCCGAGAGCTTCTTCGCGATTGGTTTTTGGATGCGGTTCCAGCTTCATTACCCAGGCAAGATGAAATAGAAGAAATATGTGTATGGAAATCCATAAGTTTCGTAAAACAACTTTCGAATTGGTACTTACACAAACTCATGTTGGTTTTTATATCGCTTGAAATATGTTGCGGGGAAAAAAATCTAAAAAATATCTCGGCACTCTAATGACGCTCCTTCTCAAATCAAATCTGAGTACGGTTTGTGGCTGGATGTTTTCAAATTTGCTGAATTCATTTTCTAAAGAAATTCATCTCCTTATTGGAGTATGACCAGGGTTGCCACGACTTTAGCGACAACTAGTCGATGGATTAACATTTATGCTGCCACAACGATTGAAAAATGCCAACAAAAGAATATAACGAAAGAGCTACCCATTTGTATGAGCCCAATTCTAAAAACTGCCGGGGAGTTTGTTCTCCGGGAATTTGCTTCTACCGAGAAAGAAATTCTCCAGCAACTAACTTCCAGGGAGTTGCATTTTCTCCGGAAATTTGGGAGGAAATTCGAACTTCGAAAGAGCTGTTTCCCTGCAAAAATCGTTGGATCATGTGGTTTATTTATGGTATATTCGAGTACTTACAAAAGTGCCCCTCTGTCATTATGTAGCGGACCAACTCATGTGTCTGCACCAGTTTATTGTTACCCGATCACTGCTCGTGTTTTAACGAAATGTAATTGAAGTTGAGAATTTGAAAGCACATTTGCATGTCTGGCTGTAGCTGAACGTGTAGAGAGGCTCGCTGTTAGTTGTTAGCTCTCAGCATGTTCGGGTTCGAATGCCATCAGAGGCAACATGTAATGTTTAATTTTTGTTTTTGGTTTTTATTAATTTCGAAAAAGCATATGTGAAGTTAAGAACAAAAGCGTGTACAAACGAAAAAATATAACAACAATGCCATTGTTAATATGTTGGAGTAGTTTTGTGCTATTCTGATGTAATGCATAGATGGAGAATATGGTCCTGTCCTGGACACCGTAATGTTAATTGGACCATCTTTTTTTTATAAATTATGCATGCACGGAGTAGTCGCAATTTTTGCAGATTTGACACTTTTTCATAGCTCACTCCCCCATTTAAAATAAAAAACCCACATAGATTTTTATTCATGATAGGAGGAAAGGGAAAGGAAAGAAAACTTCCAGGGAACCGGCTTGTATGATTTAATAATGGTACTGAAAATCTGTAGTTAACTGACGATTCTGAGTTAACTAAGCGCTGTGATTTTTTTTGCCGTCAGCCTCATCACAACAAAACTCTCCATTAAAAAAAGGTAGGTTTAATAACTGGGACGGGTCTGACATATGCTACGTAAATAATTTTTTTTTCTCTGAAATTCTCCAAATTAAAAACAGTGAGGTTTAAAAGTACATATACAACATGCAAAACTAATGGTACATTGAGTAATTAGCCAAATCCCGTGGTATGAGGGACAAGTAACTAAATGTAGCATGTTTTTCGGCGTTCTTGTTATTCTCTGAGTCTAATTAAATTTACCAATATTCTATTTAAACTACCAGCCAAATTCATAACAAAGAACTAAAATAACACAAGAGACGTTGATGTGTATGTAACTATGTCTCTTCTTTATTATATCCTTATTATCTCATATGAATTGTCTTAACTATTGTCAGGAAGCCTACGCCACGGAGACAATTATCAGCGTTTTTGACAACTAATACTTAGAGTTAAATTTAATTAAGCTTAAGCTGGTATGACTGCATGATGCAATGTTACAAGGTGGTATCAGTTGTGACAGCTCGATTTGAGGGGGAAAATATAAATTTTGTATTTGCTTATAAACAAAATTTGCTTTTTTATAGTATATTCGTAATGAAATGAAATAAAATAAGATAAAATACCTTTTTAAGAAAACAAAACGTCTATACTGAGAAAAAATTAAAAAAAAGATTCAACAATTATTAGGCAAAGAATTGTTAAATAAGTAACACCTTGTATTATTGCATCATGGTATTTATGTAAAGTAACTTTTCTTCTTACCGTTTTTCCCGGCAGGCTGTAGGTGTGTTTTGGTTAGTGTATTGGTGTTTTTGGTTCAAGGCTTGGCAAGGCGCATCCATACAAGGTGTTGGCGATTGCATATAAGTAAAACTCCCGTGTATTTTAATATTGCTTTTTGTACAGTATGATGTCAAAGCGAAAGGGAATAGGAGATAGTTTTCATCATTTTCTTTTACTGACATCCTAATGTTGCGCCGCTTCGTCTTCGATGACATTCTCCTATACTAGTGTAGAGACAAAAATATCCAATCAGCTGATCAGTCAACTCCACCTTGTATTGATGCGCCTTGAATGCTTGGTGTATTTGGAATAAATTATAATAGAAACGGAAAAAATTGTAATAGAAATGAAAGAAATTGTAAACGATAAGAGCAAATGCCAAAATACATGCGATCTCAGGTGAAGGCATTTTTCGGCGATTAGTTCAAGTTCTCTAAGGGCCGGTTGTTCAATGTCTGGTTATCACTACCACTACACTATCGACGATTTCGACATCATGCATGTAACATGTGATCGATAAAGCAGTAGTTGTGCTTAACCGGAGCCGATTTGTGCTAATCAGACATTGAACAACCGGCCCTAAGCATTTATTTACGGCCGGTTGTTCAATGTCTGATTAGCACAAATCGGAGGTAGAAGCTGCGGTTAAATACAACGACTGCTTTATCGATCACATGTTATATGCGTGATGTCGAAAACGTCGACAATGATGTTTAACCGGCAAGTGGGGATAACCAGACATTGAACAACCGGCTCTAAAGCTTTTAAAGTTTACGACATGCAACAATACGACACGTTTGTGAATCCCCCGAAGTGTTTTTACTTGGGAAATTGTACGATGATATCAGCCCAATTCTAAAACAAACTTGGCAGAAATGGCATCACTGAATTTTAAGTTGTTTGCGAAGTAAATGGCAGCTCTTTATTTGCGGAGCTGCTGAATTCATTAAAAGAAGTCATTTTATAATTCGTTGCCACCACCATAGAATTCTACCCATATACATTTTTTGAGAAATTAATTTCAGGCAGAGCCTTTTGGCACGTTACCGAAGATTTTGTAACCGGAAAATTTTATTACCAAAAAATGTTACCAGTTCTTGTCACCGCGATTCTAGGAACGTTGGTAATGCAGTTAAAATATTCAGCAATTCAGCTATGAAGAATTGTGCAAATTCTGGCATTGCATATTTCACGGGGCAATACTTTGTTACTAGCTTATGAGATGGTAACAAAATTTACCGGTTACAAGAATACACAGAATGCGAAAAGGGTTTAAAAATTGACAGGAACTTTATTTACCGGTTACAAACTTTTTATTACCAGCGCAGAATAGTCCTGTAAATAGCTCTTGTCAATATCAAGCGCACTTTCAATCAGTTCCTCGTGCTGTGTGTTCAAAGCACATTACACGTTCCAACATCTTTGGCAACATGGTACGATGGCTGTCGATGTCCGATCGACACACATGTTGGATGGTTCACATTTGTCGTTCACACCTAGCTTGGTACTGGGTAAAGCGAAGCGCACATTGGCGCGATTCTGTCGTTGCGAATACGTTGC